AAATATAGATAGGGTCTCCCTACGTTGCCCAGACTGGTCTCAAACACCTGCACTCAAGCAGTCTTACCTCCTTGGCCTCCCAAGTGCTGTGATTATAGGCCTGGGCCACCATGCCCGGCCCCTGAACAAGTACTTCAATCTCATTTTTTGTTGTTGCTTTCCATTACAAGTGCTGTGCTTTTCTAGTACTCACAGGAGTACTGTAAATCCAGCTAAGCCGTTTATGAGATTCATCCACAAGATCCAACCACCTCCCGCCAAACCCCACCTTCAGCAGTGGGGACTAATTTGACGTGAGATTTGGTGGGGACACAGATCCAAACCATATCAGAGTCCCAGTTCATAGCTTGGAAAATAAACTCAGGCATCTGTTCTTAAAGCATAAAGGGACCTTCTGGAATAGTGCTTTAAAAATCCTTTTAAAGCAGAGGAGTGCAGTGGCTCAAGCCTGTAATCCCAGCACTTTGGGAGGCCAAGGCAGGAGAATCACTTGAGGCTAGGAGTTCGAGACCAGCCTGGCCAACACAGTGAAATCCCCATCTCTATTAAACAATACAAAAATTAGCTGGGCATGGTGGCAGACGCCTGTAATCACAGCTACTTGGGATGCCGAGGCATGAGAATCACTTGAACCTGAGAGGCGGAGGTTGCTGTGAGCCAAGGTCGTACCACTGCATTCCTGCACTCCAGCCTAGATGATAGGGCAAGAGTCTGTCTCAAAAAAGAAAAAAAGGCTGGGCGTGCGATGGCTCACTCCTGTAATCCCAGCACTTTGGGAGGCTGAGGCGGGCAGATCGTGAGGTTAGGAATCCAAGAACAGCCTGGCCAACATGGCGAAACCCCATCTCTAGTAAAAATTTTTTAAAAAGTTAGCTGGGCGTAGTGACGGGTGCCTGTAATCCCAGCTATTGGGGAGGCTGAGGCAGAATTTGCAGTGAGCCAAGATCATGCCACTACACTGTAATCTGGGTGACAGAGTGAGACTCCATCTCAAAAAAAAAAGTTAAAGCAACAATACCCTTCTGAAGAAATATTGAAGTCTGATTTGTAAAATTTAAAATTTGATCCACTAGGTAAAGTTGTTAATGAGAGGTTGCCTGTTTTATTGTTCACTTAATAATCCCTAGTATTTGTATATATGCTTTATATGCTTACTAAAGAACTTTTTTTTTTTTTTTTAAATCATCATAGCTACTACTTGAGGTAAATCTAGGTTATAGGCTAGGAAATAGGCATGGAGAAAATAAGTAGCTTGTCCTGAACCCAGAGTAATCCTTAATGGAGTCAGAACTATAACCTGAATCTCTTAACCCCTGTATCAATGGACTTTTCCTCTAATACATGGTACTGCTTTATTAACCACTTTATAGCTTTCCTTTCTTTCTTTCTTTTATAGAGTTAATTATTTATATTGTAAAGAATTTTAACAGTTCTGGAGACTTCCTTGAAGGATCATTTTCACTTTTGCTCAGAAGAAAGCTCTGGATCTATCAAATAAAGAAGTCCTTCGTGTGGGCTACATATATAGATGTTTTCATGAAGAGGAGTGAAAAGCCAGAAGGATATAGACAAATGAGGCCTAAGACCTTTCCTGCCAGTAACTATACTGGCAGTAGCCGGCAAATGTTGCAAGAAATTCGGGAATCCCTTAGGAATTTATCTAAACCATCTGATGCTGCTAAGGCTGAACATAACATGAATAAAATGTCAACTGAAGATCCTCGACAAGTCAGAAATCCACCCAAATTTGGGACACATCATAAAGCTTTGCAGGAAATTCGAAACTCTCTGCTTCCATTTGCAAATGAAACAAATTCTTCTCGTAGTACTTCAGAAGTTAATCCACAGATGCTTCAAGACTTGCAAGCTGCTGGATTTGATGAGGTAAGAATGTTTTAAAGACAAAAGAAAGAATTCTTCTTACCTTATGCTACGTAACACTTTTTGAGTGATAACATGCCAAAATGTTTCCTTTAGGATAATTGAACTGCGTATACACATTTATGTATTCTATCAGCAAAGAATGTCATGTTTATAATTCCATCAGTTACTATAACAAAATAATTGTTATTTCTTTAGTTTTTTCTGTGATATGTATCACTAAATTCTGGAGTTTCTGGAATTTAAAAGGCCAGGTCATGAAGTCAGAATGGAAGTGCAGTTGAAGAAAGCCACAGGTGAGGGTAGGGGAAGGACATCTGTTTGTGTGAAATACAAGCTTGGTGAACTAAGTGGCTGTTGGGGAAATGATAGTTCCAAGGATATGAAATTTAACTTTATAGTAGGGAGAAAGAATTATAGTTATGAGTTTGTGTAAGCAGTTGTGTTCTCAGGCCCAAATCTTAAATTCACAAAAACTAACAAAATTTCACTTCCAGCTAACTATGCCAAGTCTTTAATATTTCTCTTCGGAATTCATTTTGAAGTTTTTTCATAACCCGTATATTTAACCCTTTCATTTAGGTTATTAATAAAATTTGCTTCTTATGATAACATACCTTGTAAGCATGAATATTTTAGGTGTCAGGAGTCATTTCAGATACATATTGGCAATGTAAAATGTAACTAAATGTGAATAATCAAAAGTTAGGCCGGGCGCGGTGGCTCACGCCTGTAATCCCAGCCCTTTGGGAGGCTAAGGTTGGTGGATCACCAGAGGTCAAGAGTTCCAGACCAGCCTGACCAACATGGTGAAACTCTGTCTTTACTAAAAATACAAAATTAGCTGGGCATGGTGGTGCATGTCTGTAATCCTAGCTACTTGGGAAGCTGAGGCAGGATAATCGCTTGAACCCAGGAGGCAGAGGTTGCAGTGAGCCGAGATCGTGCCATTGCACTCCAGCCTGGGCAACAAGAGGGAAACTCTATCTCAAAAAAAGAGTTAATTACATTTTTCAAAATTATAGTAATTTTTTTCTGATTGCAAAAATATTACCTATTCTCTGTTAACAATTTAAAAGTGTAAAGAAGCTGAAAATTATATTTAGCTTTACTGTATAAAGGTAACGACCCTTAAAATTCCTTCACTGTTTTTTTGTGTTTTTTTGGTGACTGAATTTCCATAAATATCTCTATTTAATTTGAAAAATGAGAACCTAAGTATGCATTATAGTAAAGGATTTGAAAAGGGAGATTTACAACTAAACTAGAAGGAAAAAAATTTTTATTTTTTATTTTTTATTTTTTTTGAGACGGAGCCTTGCTCATGCTGGAGTGCAGTAGCGTGATCTCAGCTTGCTGCAACCTCTGCCTCCCGGGTTCAAGCGATTCTCCTGCCTCAGCCTCTCCGGTAGCTGGGACTACAGGCGCCCGCCACCACGTCCGGCTAATTTTTGTATTTTTAGTAGAGATGGGGTTTCACCATATTAGCCAGGCTGGTCTCGAACTCCTGACCTCGTGATCCGCCTGCCTTGGCCTTTCAAAGTGCTGCGATTACAGGCGTGAGCCTCCACACCCAGCCGAAAAAAAAAATTTCTGGCACATTCTATTTACTTTTTTGATTAATATTATTTTCTATCATTTTTATACTTAAGTGTTCTAAAAATACTGGATTTGGACCAGGAAATAGAGAGAGGAGGAAGAGGGAAGGACCTGGGATAATGTTTTTCTGGTTAGTATTTGGAGGATTAAAGAAATGACTTGAGTGGAGATTGTCCCAAGCACTTTCTTCCTAATCCCTTAGCCAAAAGGCAAAGAATAATTATTGATCTTATTCTTTCCTTTTACATATTGCTAAGCAAAGAGAAGTTATGAAATCACATAGCTATAAAAGCCCCGAATGGTAATGTGTTATGTCAGATAAGTCACCCAGTAATACTTATTTATGGAGCTCTTACTGTGTGTGCACCCCACCCATCAGTCAGGATAGTGAATCATACCAGACATGGGCTATACCTTTAAGGTAATTAAAAGTTCTTTCTAATAAAGACAGTTTTAAGAAATCTAAGGCATTGGTCATTGTTCTGTTCATTATTGGTAATAATAACAATAACTGGTTTGTATTACAAAGATATGTTTGTGCTTTTTTTTCATTGAAATGCTACTACACAAATGATAGCTTTATTGTAATTACACATTTCAAACTGTCACAAGATTGCTTTACTGAAAGTATTTAGACATTCATCATAGCTCATTTGTCCAAATAATGAAGTATGGTATTTTTTATTTATTTTATTTTATATTTTAATTAAAAAGTAAACTTTAATGTCAAAAATGCAAACGTGGGAAGGGCAGAAAGATCACACACAAGGCTGTCCCTTCACACTTGGAGGGTTGCACATCGGCCGGACAGAGGCGCTCCTCACTTCCCAGACAGTGGGGCAGCCGGATAGAGGACTCCTCACTTCCCACACTGTGAAGCAGCTGGGCAGAAGTGTTCCTCACTTCCCAGACACTGCGGAAGTATGTTGTTATTTACACCAACGGTGATATAAAGAATCTGGCAGTCTACTTCTCCTTCCTTGAATCACTCATTCTGGTAGCATCCCATTATATTGTAGAGTTTATCTTGTTCAAGATCCTAACTTGGTATTTCAAAATTATTATCTAGTTTTCACTTCATTCTTTTTATCATTTCGGAAACCCTAACCTACTCCTTTTATTAGCTAGGCCAAGTTCAAGATAGTGCCTTTTTTTTGAGAATATGTTTCTGGTGACCCTGTACAATTAAAATCTCAAATATTTCAACATTGATTTTCTCACAGGAATAAATGTTAAATAGGATTGATGCATTCTTGGAGCACATAATACAATAACTGGGGTATATTTTTGCTTACAAGCATGAAAAACAAAAGCATAATTATGTGGTCATATTTTCTTATCACATAAGACTTCCGGCCAGGCATGGTGGCTCACGCCTGTATCCTAGCACTTTGGGAGGCCAAGGCATGTGGATCACTTGAGGCCAGGCATTCGAGACCAGCCTGGCCAACATGGTGAAACCCCAAGTCTACAAAAAATACAAAAAAAAACATTAGCTGGGCCTGGTGGTGCATTCCTGTGGTCCCAGCTACTTGGGTGGCTGAGGTAGGGGAATCATCACTTGAACCTGGGAGGCAGAGGTTGCAGTGATCTCACTCCAGCCTGGGCGACGCAGCAAGACACTGCCTTTAAAAAAAAAAAAAAAAAAAACTTCTGGCTGGGTGTGATGGTTCACACTTGTAATTCCGGTGCTCTGGGATGCCAAGGCCAGGAGGATTGCCTGAGGCCAGGAGTTCAAGTCCAGCCTGGGCAACATAATGAGACCCTGTCTGTACAAAAAAATTAAAAATTAAAAATCAGCCAGATATGGTGGCATATGCTTGTAGTCCCCAACTACTTAGGAGGCTGAGGTGGGAGAATCACTCAAACCCAGGAGATTGGGACTGCAATGAGTTATGGTTGGTTGCACCACTGCACTGCAGCCTAGGCAACAGAGCAAGACCCTGTCCCTAGTGGAAAAAAAAAAAAAGACTCCCATTCCAGAGTTACTGATTTGAGCATGCTTTTTTTCACACTGGCACTAACACCTCCACTTAATGAATGCTTGATGTTTCTATAGATGTAAAAAATATTTTAAAACATAGCAATAAATATTAAAATATAAAAGTCAGCATAGTAATCACCAAAATCACAAGGCGGAAATTCTAGTGCATTTAACAAGAATATGGGCCAGGCGCGGTGGCTCACATCTGTAATCCCAGCACTTCAGGTGGGTAGATCACTTGAGGTCAGGAGTTCGAGACCAACCTGGCCAAAAAGGCAAAACCTTTTATATATTAGCTAAAAAAATATAAATTAGCCAGGCATGGTGGTGGGCTCCTGTAAATGGCAGCTTCTCTGGAGGCTGAAGCAGGAGCTTGAACCCGGGAGGCGGAGATTGCAGTGACCTGAGATCACGCCACTGCACTCCAACCCCAGGCAAGAGCAAGGCTCCGTCTGAAAAAAAAAAGAAAAAGAAAAATTATTCCCACAATATTGGAAAAGGGTAGTGGGTGATAATTTTCTTACCAACAGAGGTGTTACTGCTGTGTAATAATAGCATAAATACATGTAGAGTTCACTTGACTTAACCAGTTTTAAAATTGAACACTCCCTAATTAATTTTAACCTGGGTAATTTCTGTTATTTTACATTTGCACATACTTGGTTTAACAACAATCTAAATAATAATGCTTTTAGCAAGATAGTGATTCAGTTTGTATAATTACGATTAGCTCAACGTCTTAAAGATTTCAGAGCCTGGGACTCTTAGGAATGTCTTGAATTTTACTTCTTGGCAATATGATCTAGCACAGGTGTCATATCTGTTGCCTAGGAAATGGGGTCGAGGAAGGCCAGTACCTAGATCAGGCAGGCATGGCAAAATTTTTATAGCAACCCTTGTTGCTTCCAACAAAATCAGTAACTTTTTCCAAGAAAAGGAGAAATGACCTTGGGTAGTCAATAAGTTCTTACCACATCCTTTCTTTGGTTGGTTTCACATTCTTCTCTTATCATTTCACATAGGAGGATCATCTGTCAGTAGCCTGTTCACCCGTTAGTCTTACTAAGCCATTTCTCATTTAAAAATGTCATTTGAAATGCTGAATCCTCTAGGACAAGTAAGTAGTTGCCTCCCTCTTGAAAAACGCATGTCAGCATACTTTCTGCATGATACTGAGTAATTTATGTTTACATGAAACATAAAGTACAAGGAGTGGAAGAGAGCAGCCAACATTTTAGCTCCAGGCACTGTGCTTGGTACTTTACGTGTTTTCTTATTTAAACCGCACATCAACCCTGTGAGCCTATTACAGGCAAAGAAACTGAGCCTCTGAAATGTGAAATAACTTGCCAGGTGTCACTCTACTTTACAGAGCTGCTGGAACTCAAACCCACATCCGTCTGATTCCAAATCCTCTTTTTTTTTTCATCTTACTATATGGCCTCCTGAAGTCTTCATCACATGATCATATATAGTCTAAGTATCTTCTTTTGTCTTATATTTGCATTCCTGTAATATAGTTCTCTGAAAACGTAATCTGTAAGAGGAAAAGAGCCAGAACTACTATACACAACGGCAGTGTGCTTAATAAAATACTCATATAAAAAGTCGTGTTTTGTTTTTTTTGTTTGTTTGTTTTTGTTTTTGAGATGGAGTTTTACTCTTGTTGCCCAGGCTGGAGTGCAGTGGCATGATTTATACTCACTGCAACCTCCACCTCCTGGGTTCTCCTGCCTCAGCCTCCCAAATAGCTGCGATTATAAACGTGTACCACCCAGACAATTTTCTATTTTTAGTAGAGATGGGGTTTTACCATGTTGGTCAGGCTGGTCTGGAGCTCGTGACCTCAGGTGATCTATCCACCTCGGCCTCCCGAAGTGCTGGGATTACAGGTGTGGGCCACCACACTAAGCCCAAAAGAGTTGTTTCTGATGTTTTTATTACTACCTTTTTAACAATCTGATAGTCTCTGATTGTTTATATAAGAATTAGAAGGCTGGGAGCGGTGGCTCACGCCTGTAATCTCAGCACTTTGGGAGGCTGAGGTGGGCAGATCACCTGAGGTCAGACCAGCCTGGCCAACATGGTGAGTTTGAGACCAGCCTGGCCAACATGGTGAAACACTGTCTCTACTAAAAATACAAAAAATAAACCAGACATGGTGGCGTGCGCCTGTAATCCCAGCTACTTGGGAGGCTGAGGCAGGAGAATCGCTTGAGCCCAGGAGGTGGAGGTTGTAGTGAGCCAAGATCGCACCATTGCACTCCAGCTTGGGCAACAAGAGCGAAACTCCATCTCAGAAAAAAAAAAAAAAGAATTAAAAATAATCAGAATCATGTTGCTATGATTGTACCCAAAGAAGTTGTTAATCCTAATTCAAGCCAACAATGGTGTATTGAAAAAATAAAAATTTAAAAACACTTTTAAGAAATACGTTAATCCTAGAAGGAAATAGAAATATGTTACTTAAAGATGAAAATGCTAAAGAAACATTTGGAAGATTAGAGGGTTTTGTTTTCTTTCTTTCTTTCTTTCTTTCTTTTTTTTTTTTCCCAAGACAGCATCTCGCTCTGTTGCCCAGGCTGGAATACAGTGGTCATCTCAGCTCACTGCAATCTCCACCTCCCGGGTTCAAACAACTCAAACAATTCTCATGTCTCAGCCTCCTGAGTAGCTGGAATTACAAGCATGTGCCAGCACACCCGGCTAATTTTTGTGTTTTTTTGCAGAGACTGCGTTTCACCACGTTGGTCAGGCTGGTCTCGAACTTCTGGTCTTAAGTGATCTGCCCTCGGCCTCCCAAAGTGGCTTGAGCCACTGTGTCTGGCCTGTTTAAGTTGAGATTTTGTGTGGGGTTTTTAGTAACTACAAACAGAACATTAATATCATGGTTTGGGGCCCTGTTCTTCTTAATTATGGATTTCTCTAGTGGAACTCATAGTGTTCTTTCCCTTGCATTATTATAAGATTGAAATTTTGTTTCTTTTTTTTTAAACTTCGTATCAGGATATGGTTATACAAGCTCTTCAGAAAACTAACAACAGAAGTATAGAAGCAGCAATTGAATTCATTAGTAAAATGAGTTACCAAGATGCTCGACGAGAGCAGATGGCTGCAGCAGCTGCCAGACCTATTAATGCCAGCATGAAACCAGGTGATTAATCAAATATTTTATTGTCTCATCTCTTCTTTTACTGTGTAGCTTAAAAATACTGAAGTCTATCGAATCTTTCTTCTTAGAAATTATAAAAGCATCCCAGTAAATGAAAGTCTCAAATTAAAATGATGTTATAATGTTATCCCAAAATGAATTTAAGGATGGGGTCCTCACATTTAAAAGTTAAAAGATAATTCTGGTAAGCAGCAGTCTAGATTAAGATCTATTTGATTGGTAATACTGCAGCGGAAATACATCTATTTTCCCTCCAAATCCTATCATTCAGACTACTCTTTTTTCTTTTTATACATTTTTTTCATATTATGAGAGTAAAATATGATCAACATAGAATATTTAGAAAGCAAATAAAAACATTGTTGTTAATAACAATATTTTGCTGTATTTTGTTTCCCAGTCTTTTTTCCTATGGGAAACTGGAATAGGTTTATCTATGCATATTTTGATTCTTGTTGTTTAAGCAAAAAATGGGATCATACTAAAACCTACTTTTTTCACTTAATATACCATGTACAATTTTACTTGTTATTAAGTTTTCTACAGAATAATTTTAATAGCTGCATTAAAATAGACTTATTTGCTGACTGCAGTGGCTCACACCTATAATCTCAATACTCTGAGAGACTGATGCGGGAGGATTGCCTCAGCCCGGGTGATCCTGCCACTGCACTCCAGCCTGGGCAACAGAGCTAGACCCTGTCTCAAAACAAACGAACAAACAAAAAAGATGTATCATATACTTTATTTAACTAATCTCCCATTTTTGGACATCAGCTTTGTTTCCTTTTATATTTGCCATTATAGACAGCACTGTAGTAATTATCCTTATAGCTAGATCTTTGTAAGTTTTAGAAAACTTAAAAAACGTTAAGGCTTTTCATAGATATTGCTGTCTAGAAAGGTAGTACCAATTTATTATTTTATTTTTTATTTTTTTGAGATGGGGTTTCACTCTGTTGCCCAGGCTGGAATACAGTGACATGATCTCAGCTCACTGTAACCTCTGCATCCCAAGTTCAAGCAGTTCTCCTGCCTCAGCCTCCCAAGTAGCTGGGATTACAGGTGCCTGCCACCATACCCGGCTAATTTTTTGTATTTTTGGTAGAGACGGGGTTTGCATGTTGGCTCAGCTGGTCTCAAACTCTTGATCTCAAGTGATCCGCCTGCCTTAGCCTCCCAAAGTGGTGGGATTACAGGCGTGAGCCACCGCGCCCAACCAGTAGTACCAATTTATATTCTCCCTATCAGTTTCCTATGAGAATGCCTATGTTCGTAAAGCCTCGGTATTATTATTTTTGTCTGTTTAATGGTTATGGAAACACTGTCTTATTTTACATTTGCATTTCTTTGATCACTGCATTTGTTTATTGGTTTGCTTTGGTGTTTGTTTATTTGTTTTTGAGACTCACTCTGTCACCCAGGCCAGAGTGCAGTGGCGCGATCTTGGCTCACTGCAACCTCCACCCCCTGGGTCTGAGTGATTCTCCTGCCGCAGCCTCCCGAGTAGCTGGGATTACAGGCACCTGCCACCATGACCAGCTAATTTTTGTATTTTTAGTAGAGATGGGGTTTCACCATCTTGGCCATGCTGGTCTTGAACTCCTGACCTCGTGATCTACCTGCCTTGGCCTCCCGAAGTGCTGGGATTACAGGTGTGAGCCACCACTCCTGGCCTATTAGTTATTTTTTAATTGCCATTTTACCTCTTTTAATTTTGTCTTTTTTTTTTTTTTCCTTTGAGATGGAGTCTTGTCACCTAGACTGGAGTGCAGTGGTGCGATCTTGGCTCACTACAACCTCTTCCTCCCGGGTTCAAGCAATTCTTCTGCCTCAGCCTCCAGAGTAGCTAGGGTTACAGGTGCACACCGCCATGCCTGTCTAATTTTTGTATTTTTAGTAGAGACGGGGTTTCACCATGTTGGTCAGGCTGGTCTCAAACTCCTGACCTTGTTATCTGCCCACCTCAGCCTCCCGAAGTGCTGGGAGTATAGGTGTGAGCCACTGCACCTGGCCTGTCTTTGTCTTTTAAAAATTGATACCCGGCACAGTGGCTTACGCCTGTAATCCCAGCACTTTGGGAGGCCAAGGCGGGGCGGATCACCTGAGGTCAGGAGTTAGAGACCAACCTGACCAACATGGAGAAACCCTACTAAAAATAAAAAATTAGCTGGGCGTGGTGGCACATGTCTCTAATCTCAGCTACTCGAGAGGCTGAGGCAGGAGAATTGCTTGAATCTGGGAAGCGGAGGTTGCAGTGAGCTGAGATCGCACCATTGCACTCCAGCCTGGGCAAAAAGAGCGAAACTCCATCTCAAAAAAAAAAAAAGAAAAGAAAAAGAATTGATTTATAAGAGGGCTATAGTCATTCTTCCTATTCAACACATTTTTATTGATCATCCACTGTTTCAGGCTCTTTGCTCTGCATTGGGTAAGTTCTTGCCCTTTTGTGGACCTTACCTAGTAAGGGAGATCAAATAATCACCCAGATACCTGTAGAATTAGAGCTATATATGGTGTGAATGAAGAGAGGAGAGTTACGTGGTACTGTGGACTCATATAATAGTGGGATTTTTTCTTTTTTTTTTTAACCGCATCAAGAAGATCAGAAAAGCCCTTCCTAACAAACTGGTAATAAAGCTGGTATCTGAAGAAGTACAGAGTTAGTGGGAATGGAATTAGTGAGTGTCCCTATGCATGGCTGCTTTGGCAGATTTTGATGCCACAAAAAAAAATGAAAATGCTTGGAGCACTGAAAACAGGATTGTGACATGTGACTGGAAAAGTCCATAGGGGCCTGACTTTGTTTATTAATTTTATCCTAAGAGCAGCAGAAAGGTATAGAAGTGTTTCAGGCAGGGTAATAACATTATTAGATTTGTATTTCAGAAAGATGGCTGCAGTGGATGAGAATGGGTTAGAGAGGAGCGAGGATAGATATGAGGACAGGTGTGATAGGAAACACAGTAGTTTGTGAGGGTAATTTGGACTTGGGCAAAAGCAGTGAAGAAAATGAATGAATTAAGAGGGATGGGAGTGGTAAAATTGACAAGGACTTGGTAATAGATTACATATGGTACGTGATGATAGAAGGGGATAACTCTTAGGTTTTTGGCTTAGAAAAATAAATGGATGATAATACCTGACATTAAGAAAGGGAATGTTAAAAGAGAATAGAATTTAGGTGGGAAAGATCGTAAATCTGGCTGTAGTTTTCCAAGTGGAGATGTCAAGTAGGGAGCTGGGTATGTATGTGTGAGCCGGGCATATGAAATAGGTCACCTAAGGGATGTTACATAGATCAAAATAATAAGATGGCCTGCAACCAAGCTTATTATTTAATAGCTAGTAGGAAGGGGTAAACCTGCAAAGGGGACAGAGAAGAAATAGGTGAAAAGGAAGAAAACCAGTAAGGTTTTCAGTGTTTTGGGAGCCACAGTAAGAGAACATTTCAAGAAGGGGAGGGAATGGTCAAAATGCCAAATACTGCTAAGAAAGAGATATTGACCAAGATGAGAACTAAAAAATAATCTTGTTGACTTTAGTGACATGGTGTTTTAGTTTGCTAGGGCTGCCATAACAAAATAACACAGACTGGGTGGCTTAAACAATTAAGATTTATTTGAGTGCTGGAGACTAGAAGTCCACGATTAGTTACTGGCAGGTCTAGTTTCTTCTGAGGCTGCTCTCCTTGGCTTGCAGATGGCCACCACCTTGCTGTGTCCTCATATGTTTGTCCCTCTGCATGTGCATGTGTCTTGAGTCTCCGTCTCCATGTCCAGATTTTCTCTTACAGGGATACAGGTCATACTGCATTAGGACCCACCCTAGTGATCTAATTTAATCTTAATTACCAAATACAGTCACATCTTATAGTACTGGTGGTTATGACTTCAGCATATGGATTGGGGGTTTAGCAAATGAGGTAACTTGTCATGTCATGGGAGCATAATTCAGATTGGAGTGGGTTGAGGACTAAACAGGATATGTAGTAGTAAAAAAAAAAACAAGGTATACCTTCAGGAAGTGTTTCTGGAGGAGAGAGTGAAGACATTAGCAAGAGTAGTGCTTCTCAAACCATCTATGGTGAAGACCTTTGATTTTTCAAATTTCCAGTTCATCATGAATTCAATTCATAATTTTATAAATACAATAAATTATTAGAAAATGAAAATTTAAGTGCCGGGCATTGTGGCTCACACTTGTAATCACAGCACTTTGGGAGGCTGAGGTGGGAGGATCGCTTGAGCTCAGGAGTTTGAGACCAGCCTGGGCATCATGGTGAAACCCCAGCTCTACAAAAAATTATCCAGGTGTGATGGCATGTGCCTGTAGTCCCACCTACTCAGAGGCTGAGGTGGGAGGATTGCTTGTGCCCAGAAGGTTAAGGCTGCAGTGAGCTGTGATTGCACCACTGCACTCCAGCCTGGGCAATAGAGTGAGCCCCTTTCTCAAAAAA